AGCAGCAGCAGCAGCAGCAGCAGCAGCAGCGGCAGCAGCAGCAGCAAGACCAGATGCTCCAGAAGCAGAATGGCCAGCAGAAATGTGAAGTGTTCTCGGTTAACGGTGACATTAGCGTCAGGTAATGAGCCGCTACTACTACTGCTGCTGCTGCTGCTGCTGCTGCTACTGGTTGTGCTGCTCTCCTGCTGCAGCTCGTGCCTTGACCAGTGCTGCGCGGAAGCCCCTTTGCTGCTGCTAACTGCGTTGCCGCTGCATAAGTTGCTGCAGCAGCTGCTCACGTGCTGCCGCTGCTGCTGCAGCTGCTGCTGCTGCTGCTGCTATGGGGCGCTTGAGCAGGTTAGCAGCAGAAGGGGCCGTAGAAGAAGCCAAAGCGCTGCTGGAAAAGTGCTCTCAGAAAATTGAGGAGACTTCTGTACGTGTTTGCTGCTGCAGCAGGAGCAGCAGCAGCAGCAGCAGCAGCTGCTGCTGCTGCTGGTGTTCTAGTGTTGATTCCTGTCGCGGCACTATTGACGCTGTTGCTGCTGCTGCTGCTGATGTTGTCGCTGCATGTGGTGCTGCTGCTGCTGCTGCTGCTGCGGCCTTGCAGGTTCACACGGCAGCCTCGCTGCAAGATTTGCAGCAGCAGAAGCAGCAGCTGCTGGAGGCCAAGCAACAGCTTGAACAGTGAGCAGCAAAAACAGCAGCAGCAGCAGCAACGGCAGCAGCAACAGGAACAGCAGCAGCAACAACAGCAGCAGAATCGCACCACTGCTCAGAGGCCCTGTAAAGATTCAAGCATATTCTGTGGCGGCAGCAATAGTACCAAGGGCAGCAGCAGCAGCAGCAGCAGCAAACGCCGTAGCAGCAGCAAAAACAGGAGGCCTTTTTGAAAGTTGTGCTGTCTTTGTGTTGCAGCTCTTTGAAGGATGCGCAGCAGCAGCTCCAGACAAAAGAAGCAGCAGCAGCAGCGCATGCAGCAGCGAGGGCGAATGCTGCTGTTGCTGCCGCAGCAGCAGCAACAGCAGAACTGCACCGGCAGCAAATGTCCACCAAGACGCAGCAGCTCGAGAAGGGAGCTGCTCTTGCTGTGATAAAGGAGGCGGAAAAGTTTTTGAGTGCAGCAGCAGCAGCAGCAGCAGCAGCAGCACACGCATCGGCAGACGCAGCAACAGCTCTTGCTGCTGCGGGATGCAGCTCAGGCCTTTCCCCCTCATCCTCTGAAGCAGCTCAGCAGCAGCAGCAGCAGCAACAGCAGAAGCAACAGCAGCAGTTCGTGAAGCAGCAACAGCAGCAGCAGCAGGGAAGCCAGTTTGATATGGCGAAATCCCCGATGCAGCACCTTGTGCAGAGTCCACCTGAGCAGCAGCAACAAGCGCAGCAGCAGCAAATACAGCAGCAGCAAATGCAGCAGCAGCAAGTACAGCAGCAGCAAGTACAGCTGCAGCAACTGCAGCAGAAACAGACACAGGACGCAGACTCGGGTGCAGGTGGCTGGGAAGACGATGACTGGCTTAGTGACTTGGAAGAAGAGCAGCAGCAGCAGCAGCAGCAGCAGGAGCGGCAGAGAGAGCAGGAGCAGGAGCAGCATCAGGCACAGAAAGAGCAGCAGCAGCAAGACTGGCAGCAGCAGCAGCATGAAAAGTGGCAGCAGGAGGAAAGAAAGCAGCAGCAGCAAGAACAGCAGCAGCAACAACACTTGCAGGAACAGCAGCAGCAGCAGGAGCAACAGCAGCAGCAAATTCACCAAGCAGCAGCAGGGTGGGATGCCGGTGAGGACTGGGAAGCGGATTTGGTGGAGGAGCGTCAGCAGCAGCAGCAGGATCTTGCAGAACAGCAGCAGCGACGGCAGATGCTGCAGCAGCAGCAGCAGCAGGAACAGCAGCCAGAACAGCAGCAGGAGCTGCAGCAGCAGCAAAGCCCCAAGGTTGCTGAGGGGTGGGATGAAGATGACATATTTGGAGATGAATGGGGAGACAGCTTGCAGCAGCAGCAACAGCAGCAGCAGCAGCAGCAGCATGAACAACAACAGGGGGAGCAACAGCAGCAGGAAAGCCTGCAGGAGCTGCAGCGGCAGCAGCAGCAAGAAAATATATTGGGGCACCAGCCATATCAACAAAGGGATCAACAGACACCTCAGCAACTGCAGCAGCAGCAGCAGCAACTGCAGCAGCAGCAGCAGCAACAGCAGCAAAAAGAGCAGCAACAACCTGGTGAAGGGCTTAGCCCCTCTTGTGCCTTCATTTGCGGGAAGCAGGAAAATCTGCCTTCTGTGGTTCATCAGGATCAGCCGCTGCAGCAGCAAGAACAGCAGCAGCAGCAAGAAAAGCAGCAGCAGCAAGAAAAGCAGCAGCAGCAAGAAATGCAGCAGCAGCAAGAACAGCAGCGGCAAACGATGCATGGAGAATCACCTGCGGCCAAGTCAAATGATTGGGACTCTTACGGGCATTGGGGCAGCGAAGTCATAGCAGAACAGCAGCAACAAGAAAAGCAGCAACAGCAGCAGCAGCAGCAGCAGCAGCCAGAGTCCATGAAGGATTTAAGCGGTCCCGGTGGAGACCCAGTCATGTCGCTGCAGCTGCAGCAGCAGCAGCAAAAGAAGCCAGATTGGCAGCGTGTGCCTGGCGGAGCTCACACAATGCATCATCATCATCAGCAGCAGCAGCAGCAGCAACTGAAGCAGCAGCGCCCGCAGCAACAGCAGCAGCAGCAGCAGCAGCAGCAGTGGGGAGGAGCAGAGCCATGGGATATTGAGTTTCAAATCAATAGACTCGCAGATGGCCTTTCCAGTCCGGCTGCGCCTTCTGAAGCTTCACCAGCAGCAGCGGCAGCAGCAGCACCAGCAGCAGCAGCAGCAGCAGCAGCAGCACCAGCAGCAGCAGCAGCAGCAGCACCAGCAGCAGCAGCAGCAGCAGCACCAGCACCAGCAGCAGCAGCAGCAGCAGCAGCAGCAGCGGCAGCAGCATCACCTGCCGCCTTGGCTGCAGCTGATGCGCTAAGCAAGGATGATTTGCTGGCCCCCGCTCCAACCCCTCTCCCTGTCTCTGCTGCTGCAGGACAAGCAGCAGCAGCAGCAGCAGCAAAAGGCGCTGCTGCTGCAGCACCTCCTGCTGCTGCAGCTTCACCTGCTGCCGCAGCAGCATCTGAAGAGGAGAATTTGGGCTTTGAGGATGACTGGGGCGCTTCAGCAGCACAGATAGACACGAAGGTGCCAGCAGCAGCTGCTGCTGCAGCAACGCCGCAGTCAATAGCAGCAGCAGCTGCTGCAGCAGCGGCGCAGTCAGCAGTACCTGCTGCAGCAAGTCCTGCAGCAGCAAGCCCTGCCGCAGCAGCAGCATCATTCGATGATGAGGATTTAGACTTTGAAGACCACTGGGGAGCCCCAGCAACTGGAATAGACGAAGCAGCAGCAACAGCAGCAGCAGCAGCACCACCACCACCACCTGCTGCAGTGACACCACCTGCTGCTGCAGCCCCACTGGCCCCAGCAGAACCTACTGCAGCGACACCAGTTGCTGCACCTGCGGTGGCAGCAGCAGCAGCAGCAGCAGCAGGCGAAGAAGGCTTCAAAGATAAGCGAGGAGCCGCACAAGCTGCCCTATTAGCAGCAGCTCCTGCAGCAGCAGCAACGCCTCTTGCAGGAGCTCAACAAGCAGCAGTGGCAGCAACAGCAGCAGCAGCAGGAGCAGCAGCAGCGTTTGATGAAGAGGGTCTCGAATTTGATGACGATTGGGGAGCAACAGCAGCACACAAAGACACAGGCTCACCCTCAGCAGCAGCAGCTGCTGCTGCAGCAGCTGAACAAGCAGCAGCACCAGCAGCACCAGCAGCTGCTGCTGCTGCAGCTGCTGCAGCATCTGACGAAGACAATTTTGACTTCAAGGATGATTGGGGGGTCTCAGCAGCACAGGCAGAAGCAAGCTCAGCAGCAGCTGCTGCTGCAGCGACGCCGCCGTCAGCAGCAGCAGAAGGACGAGCTGCAGCAGCAGCTGAACCAGCAGCAGCAGCAGCAGCAGCTGAACCAGAAGCAGCAGCAGCAGCAACTGAAGGAGAGGACTTCGACTTGAAAGATGATTGGGGCCCCCCAACAGCGCTGGTAGACATAAACTCACCAGCACTTGCTGCTGCTGCAGCTACACCGCCATCAACAGCAGCAGCAGCAGCAGCAGCGTTTGAAGAAGACGATTTGGACTTCAAGGATGACTGGGGAGCCCCAACAAAACAGGTGGAGGCAGCTTCAGCAGCAGCAGCTGCTGCTGCAGGAACATCGCCATCAGCAGCAAAAGCTGCAGAGAGCCCTGCTGCAGCGAGCCCAGCAGCAGCAGCAGCAGCAGGAGCAGCAGCAGCAGCACCATATGATGAAGAGGATTTGGACTTCCAAGATGACTGGGGGGCCCCAGCAGCTGCAGTAGACAACGCAGCAGCAGCAACAGCAGCAGCAGTGGCAGCAGCAGCACCTATTCTAGTGGCAGCACCTGCAGCAGCAGAAGGAGATCACTTGTCTATAAATGATGATTGGAGAGCCTCAGCAGCAAATACGAAAGCAGCATCATCAGCAGCTGCAGCACGACAGGCAGCAGCAGCAGCTACTAGATCGGATGTGCTCGGATCCGCAGGAGTTGCTTCTCCAGCAGCAGCAGCGCCTGCTGTTGCTGCAGCTCCTGCTGCTGCTGCTGCAGCACCTGCTGCTGCTGGGGAAGAGGACCTTGAGTTTGCGCTGGATGACTCTTGGGCAGGTGAAGGCTTTGAAATTCCCTCAGACGTTCTTGTGGCACCTGCAGCAGCAACAGCAGCAACAGCAGCAGCAGCAGCAGCAACAGCAGCAGCAGGCCAAACCCCACCGTCAAAGGCAGCATTTGCAAACGAGCGGCAGCAGGGCCACCTACACCAGCAGCAGCAGCAGCAGCAGCAGCAGCACCGATGGTCAAAAGGACCTGCTGCTGCTGCTCCTGCTGTTGTTCCAAATGTGGACGACATCGACCTGGAAGCGCTGCTGCGCGACTGAGCAGCAGCAACAGCAGCAACAGCCGCTGCTGCAGCAGCAGCAGGGGCGACATCCCTTCAGCTGCTGCTCCATCGGCAGCAGGGATGGCAGCCCATCTGCAGCTGCTACTGCTGCAGCAGCAGGGGCGACAGCCCGCCTGCATCAGCTGCTGCTGCAGCAGCAGGGGCGACAGCCCGCCTGCAGCAGCAGCTGCTGCAGCAGCAGGGGCGACAGCCCGCCTGCAGCAGCAGCTGCTGCAGCAGCAGGGGCGCCTCTGCCTGCAGCAGCAGCTGCTGCAGCAGCAGGGGCGCCTCTGTTGGTTGTACAGGAACTAGAAAGCAGGTTAATTGGTTTAAACAGTTTAAGAGTAAGAAGCAGCAGCAGATGCAAGCAGGG